AATACATGAAGGAGTCCTGGATGAAAATGTCGACGTTCATCTTGTTAGACCATTCTTTACTACTGATGCATGGCTGTGTGTAACAAACGTGGTACAAGAAAAACAGAAGACACATGTTTACTATTGTAATTGCTGTCATCAAGATCTGGAGAATTTTCCATCTATTGGCTGTGATCATTGCTTGTTATGGACTCACCTGAAATGTTGTGGTCTAAAAGATAGGCCCAAAACAAGATATTGGTTTTGTAGGAAGTGCCACACTAATCCTACTCTGTGATGTGTGTTGTTGAAAATATTTGGATTAAAAAAGTACTTTGATAAACTATAACAATAAAAAGAGTGAATTCAAAGAAACAATGATGAATAATTGTGAGATAAACAAAATTAAAGAAAGAAAATAAGGAAGTTAATTTCAGATAATGATTAATCAATAATTACTATTTAATTAGCTCGTTAAAATGGGCGTGGTTTAGGCACCACGTGATCATGCCGGTTCTATAAGACCTTGAAAATGGAAACCGGTACCGGTTCCGTAGCCACTTCGTTAGGATTAATATTATCTTCCAATACTGTGATGACACTTTCCAATCTCGTCTTTACTGTACTCAAAATGAGGAGATGTTGCACACTGGCTGCTACTGTCCGCTATAAGCGTCTCAATAAGGAATACTACCTATGTAAATGAACAATATTACAATCCCTCTTATTGCCTGCAAATTTACCCTTTGTACGGATGAGACTTCATTTTCCTCTACCTCCTCACTCAAATCTGCCTCCATCTTTTCCTAGCCACTCCTACATAGATCTAGAGTAATCTATCAATGATCGGACTCCACCTATATTCGGACGCACTTTTCTCATCCTATACATTGCCAATTTAGGTCATTTATGCACTGATTTAAAGACACACTCTAGCCCTACTATATACAAAAATTCAAGAAAGTTTAGTGACTTATACTTAAAGTTATGCTGCAATGAATAACCGCGTCCGATATTTCGTAAGATCGGCCATTATCCTGCATCGTCGTATGCTCCTTGGTTCTCAGTGATAACATCAGTTATCTTTCATCTAACATCTGCTTTGCAAACATTGATTATAATACTTCATTTAAGTGTAGTAATAAGAGAAACTGACAGCATTCTGATTTATGGTAATTTTTAAAACGAATACTCCTAGAGTCCTGTCATAGATAATAGAGTAAATGAAAGGGATTGGCAACGGGGCGTAGCAACAGGAAATGCAGGTTGGGTTACCACGTGACAACCATCAGTGTTTTGATTGATTTCCCATCTCCTCCATTGGTGAAGTTGCTCTGGCAGGATTTCGAAGGAAATTTGTGCTGCTCCAGGATAGCGCTTGCTTTTGATATATAGCCTATTCCACATAGAATTTTTAGAGCTACCTGCAGCAAGGTTTTTGTCTCCAAAAAGCCATTTTGCAACCAGTTAGAGGTACACAAAGTCGCCTGTTTTTGAAACACTTTATCGTTCGTAAAACACTCAAGCTTCAGTGTA